CCGATTTTTAATAACAAAATAAATAATTTAAGTTAAATATTGTATACCACTGTAAAGAGTGAACCTTTAGCTACAAAATTTATATAGGAAATTTTTGTCTACGTCGCTTTGTTTAACTGGTAGGGTAAACTCGGGTAAGATGGCCATAATTTTTTAAAATGCAATAAACATACATTTATTTTTGTTATATTTTAACAGTGTTTGGTATATTCCTTCACTGAAGCTTAAAGTACGTAAAACTATCGAAATTAAGAAGAAAACACTTAACATAAATTTTATATTATCAAAGTATTACAACGTATGCATTGGCCATCTTATCTGACTTTTAAGGAAAAGATGGCCATAGCAGAAAAGATAACCATAGTATTTTTAAATAAATAGTGAAAAATAGAAATACAAATTATAGGTCGAATTACAATTTACATAGCTTAATTATGTGTGTAACGTTGATTACGGCAGCTTAACTATAATTTATTTAATGTTATAGCAGCTTTTAGCGGACACATGAAAAACTTTGCAGGCAGTCAAAAGTAAAAATATGATATAATATTCACAATATTGTTATTTCGAATAGTGTACGCACATAAACTACTGTAAATATTGATTATCTTTGAGAATGACTACAAAAATGCACTGTTTAGCCATTATTGGAGAAATTACAGCCATGGGCCATCTTTTCCGTATGGCCATCATACCCGAGTTTACCCTATAGAGCAAAAACGACAACGGTGCAAAAATTAAAATCTCAAAAAAGCCGGGGCTAAACCGTCATACTACATTTTCAATACATATACGTATATCTAATCCTGAAAAATGATAGGATACATTTTAATAATTGTTTTTAAAGAAAAAAATATAAAAATTTATTTAAAACTGTTATGCGAAACATTATTAAAGAATAATTGTTTTACCTATTCCATAAAACAATTAAGGCACGTGAATACAGATCCTGACAAGCGCACGACGACAACGACGACGACGACGACGACGACGACGACGACGACGACCACCACCACCACCACCACCACCACCACCACCACCACCACCAACACCACCATCACTACACTGACACTGACATAACGACCAGCAACGACGATCTACCGCGGCTGGGACGATCTACCACGCGCGCGGCATGTCAACTCTTGCGCGGAAATCGCGGATCTCGAAAACAACGGTCCGCCATCTTTTCGGTCGGCCAAAACACCCGTTTTGCGACGATACGTGCCTACCATTTCCCTCCTATACAAACTGACGCACGTGCAAGGGAAGACAAAATCACGCTCGAGGGAAACCTAACCTGAAATCGCCGTGAGCTGAAGTCGTGCGCCCGGCGCGCCACAGTGACGAGACAGACGGATTAGTCCCGGGTGCTTACAGACGGATTAGTCCCAAACACAAGTTTCAGGTTTGATCGCCCACGAAATATTAGACATCAACGAAAATGAAAAAACTACACTGGATTCGTGTTCAGCATGCATTACTCTTTATAATCACGTACCTCGAGATTTGGAGAACAAATATTATTGCAGATATTATAAAATTTCCACGCGCAGAAAATTTCACTTTCACCTTCCGAAAACACGTTTGCTCTCGTAAAAATCATAACACGGCAGGTAGCAAATCGGTTCGTTTTCTATCGTATATCAATGATATAAATTAAATCCGCATCAACCAAATCGGCGATTAGTTCGCGACAATGCCGCTAGGCCGCGCATAATGGAAAGCGCTTCTCGTATTTAAAATACATCCAGTCATAATATATAAGCAGAATCCCTGCAAGGTGAAAAGCAGAGAAATCCAGTATCGTAACTGGAGGGACCTCTTCCTATAAGGACCTCCTAGCGGTAGCCGCCCCGGACACCGAACACCGAGCCCAGCGGCCTTCGATTCCTGGCGCTAGTTGCCCCGTTTCCGGCGTTCTTCAAAACGATAAAAACCGATTGAAAGAAATGAATCGATATGAATCTAGTTCCTTAATTCACGGTTTGTAACGATTGAAATGGATTGACTAAACCATTTTTTGACCGATTCAAACCATTCATTAATCATATTAAAAACGATAGAAACTGATGTGCAGTTGATAAGACATTTACGATAGGATCCCAGGTATTTTGTAACGTAAGTTTCTGATGGAGTATCGTAAATAAACAATTCACTAACCGCATTAAAAACGATAGAAACTAATGTGCAGCTGATAAGACTTTTACAATAGGATCCCAAGTATATTGTAACGTGAATTTCTGATAGAGTATCGTAAATAAACAATTCACTAACCATATTAAAAACGATAAGAAATTTTTTATCCTTTTCTATCGTTGGCGGTTATCAAGAATCTTATCCACCCTCATATCATACCACGACAATAACGACACACGAACCCCAAATTGTAAATACAAAGCGATTTGGATTTATACATGTAACTGTAATATATACCTCTTAAATTGTATAAAATATCTCCACTTTTTTGCACGATCAGAGCTAGTTCGAAAACTTGTTTGGTAGGATACTTGGATCGCATTTGAATTATGTAAAAAAAAAACCATGATGAGGATCAATGATAAAATTCAGAAGAACACAAATAAAGATTCCGTACTCCGTCGTTTGGCAATACAATATAAAAATATTTTTTATACAATATAAAATATATTTATATTGTAAAAGAAAAGATTTGTGTGTGTGTGTGTGTGTGTGTAAAATTGCTCGAGATTCGTGGGAAGCGCGATAAACATAGCATGTCCTACATGCGAGTTCGCACTCGCGAACAATTCCCGTTGGGGCACTAGCTATATAATCATAGGTTGGTCAAGATTTGGACATAGTTTCGCCGGCGATACACATCTTTTCCAGGAACTTGGTTTTGTACATCGTACAAAACAACCGCGGAGGGGAGGGGGGATATTTACGTTGGTGAGCCTTGGAGCCGCACATCGGCTAGGCTTCAGGTGGACTGACCACCACCACTGACCATCGCCGCAACTCGCTGGTGAATATTTCACGAGAGTCGTGAAAGTAACGGACCGCACAGGACTCCGAAGCGTGCACGGCTTTGAGCTTCATCGAACCGTGCATCAGTGAAAAATTATGCACCGCAAAGCCCGAGCGTATGACGAGCAGTAAGATCCGATATCGGCGACGGATCACTTCAGTATGAATGAATAGCACCATCATGCAGGGTAAGTTATGCCCATACATGGATGATAGGAGTCGTGTGCATAATTACATCCCGAAACGATCACCGCGGATATTTTGCTGTTTGTCTTTTCGATAACTTCAGTAAGTATTTTATTTTAGCGCAGTCTTTTGAGAATATTAAGAAGTATACACGTAATCGCGCGGTATATAAATAATATCCATATAAATATATAATATCCTGCGATTTATTTCTTAATCAAACTGAGAGAAAGAGAGAGAATGTATGTTTTTAAGCTTTGATTTAAAGAAGAAACAGTTATTTGGTGTTTTTTGCGCACGAATAAATTGTAGAAATCGTCAGGAACTTAATATGATGAGTATTATCATTCATTCAATAGCACGTTAGTGATTCTGTGTTATAAAAGATGCAATCACTGCAATCCATTGGGAACTTCTATCGTACCATTGTATCTATCGAAGTAAATACAACAGAGAAGATACGACGAAGCGATATAAAATTTAGCCATAAAACTGTGATTGGAGAGAGATATAGGATATCAACCAAACCCGTTCTTGGCTATACGAACATATCCGTCTAGTGCCAAGTTTCTATCTTTTTTCCATTATACCCACGCAAGTAATTCCTACTGCTTACATTTTTTCTTACAACCGGACGCAACCGAAAGTCTAGATCAATATAAACGTCTTATACCTCGTATACGATTATTTCCGCGTTGTTAACACAATTTATACTTCGTCGCTGTATTGTCTTACCTTCACACATTGCCACACGGATTGTATGAAAACATGTTTGTATGAATACAAATCGGCATAATTGTTACGGAATGTAGGAATCGAGTTTGATTATTCCTATAATTTCATCGCGTAATTCCACGTTAACTGATTTTCGGGCATGTCTCGGAAATGTCAACAAATTTGTTTATATATAGGCAATAAAATGCTTGTGTTATGTACGTTACCAGCTCGATGTAAAATTCACTTATCACGAACAGTTAAAAATATATGAGCCAAATGCTCAATGCTGACGCAACAAATCGATTGGAAAGAAGTGCTTTTTACTGATGATTGAGCCCAATGGCGCTATAATCAATTCATTTACGTAACCGCGTTAACAATTTCTGTGGGATGCCCGTGAATAATCAATACTTTGCGAGACTATCTTTAATAAAGAAGGGGTTAAAAATACTAGTACGAACTATGCTATATCGGCTACCGCGCGTTGCTGTAATCTTGCAACAACGAACAAAACGATGTTCGGAATTCTCGGCTTCGGCATAGTTCGAATTAACAATAAATTTAGGTAATAGATGCTAGAGTTCACACATGATTGTGTTTAATCATTTCTCGATGTGAGATTCGACAAATTCTGTTATGTTAAATGTTCAAAGGTATTTAATAAAAGGAATAAAGTATAAGAATTAATAACTTTTGGAATATGTCTTAAATAGATACATTATCGATGAGAAGCTTTTCTCCCTTTGAGATTTTTGCTTTAAGGACTCACGGGTCAGGTTTTTTAGGTCAAATCTTTAATCGTAGATTAGAAATGCAAAATTATGCAAGTGCCAATGAAATAATCTCACATAAATTGAAGGAAATCTTCGTGTACAAGAGAGAAATCTCGGCGAGCTGCAAGATGATGAAAATAAATGATGGCGCTATGCAGCCAAGTGCGATAAGGCTCATTTGCATATTACAATAAACGCGCAAATAAAAATTGTGATAAATGCGACGGTGTAAAAATGCTTTTTTGCCTCTTGCATAATTTCGCGCTCGCCAAAGTTTGAGTGATCCCCGAGATAATCGATGCCATCGATGGTGCCCTGATAGGTCAAGAGGGGACGTACCTGCTTGAAGCCTCGATACATGACTCGGATCTCCTGGCGGGAGAACTTGGTCTGTCGCAGAAGCTCCTCTATAGGCACCGGCCTGGTGGTCTGTTGCCTCGCCCTCGTGCTCTCGAATTCAAAGAACGCCTCTTCCGGTCCCGGCGAGTCCGGCGGCGTTGCCATGACCTTTGATCCTGCCGCCGCCTAAATTGTCGAAAGTCCACGACAGGGCTGCCCCTACCCCCAGTTTCCAGCTTCTTTCTATTCTTTTTATATCCGGTGATCCGCGAGGTCACACTATCATCGGCACGTTCCCCGTCATCGTGCGTTTCATCGTGCGTTTCCTCTATCGATCCTCTCTGCCGCGCGTCTCGCTCGACTTTTTCCCCTCGAGATCTCGCGTCTACCGGAGGAGAAGGAGAAGAAAGCGCGAAACTCTCTTTCGAGCGGCGAACTGCAAAATATTTTCCACGTGATACTCTCGCGACTTGGTGGCGAACAAACCGCGCGAAACGCGTGCGAAATGCGTTCGCGCATTGGTAGTAACGAACGGGGTGTAATGCAAAGCGCGATTATTTTTAACGTTCTAATTACACACGGCGCGCTTATCGATTATATCAATGTTCCCTCCGATCGGGTAATTAGTTCCGTCTTCGCAACTGAACGGACATTACGGTGTGCCTGTATCTCAAGATAACGGTGAAATCAAGTTGTTTCGCATATGTGGAATCCTGAGGTTTCTCCGCGACCGAGCGAGTTTGTCGTAATTAATTGTCGCTTTCCGGCAATTCCGCTGGTGGCATTTGTATTTATATCCGTGTAGCGTTACAGATTTTTCAGGATTTGGCATAGGTCCCGCGAAATGAAAAAAAGATAGCGCAAACAAACAAAAACGGACTGAGCGAGGATGGGAGACGGGGCAAGTCTGATATATGTGGCTTGAGAGTGCTTTAAAGTTCACGATTCTAAGGATAAAGCCGTTCCCGTTTGATAGTTGCGTGCATATACGCTATTAATCACTATTAGGAAGAACACGGACGTAAGCTGAAGCTGCGTCTTAGATCTAGATTTCGGGGTCACTCCGCGAGGATCGTAAAAATAGCCGGGTAAGACGAGTGAATATTATAGAATTCGCGAAAGGTTACCGTGCCAAAACTTCGAGATCGATTCTGGGCGCGGTCGTTCAAAATTTATTGATAAAAACCACGAGAAACCATCGTGAGGGATGCAAGAGCGTATATAGAAACCCTAATGCACGCGGAGTCTATCATGCAGACTTCCCTATTAGTTAGGGAGCTGGGTGCCAAAATTTCTATATGATTTGTTCATGTGGCAGACATTATTAATAGCGATAATTGTATCATAGGAAACATTAAGGACCGTGTCTGCCACCATGGTAGCGCTGCGTTGTTAATTGACAGCGCTTCGAATTTGTAAAAAAAAAGGGGTACTATATGATTTGTTCATGTCTGCCTCTGAGGCTGATGTTCAGAATCCTTCTGAAAACGAAGTAAATCGAAGAGGCAGACATCCAGGGCTCTGACTTTTGTAGTAATCAATTTTTCAAGCTTTTTTTATGATTTAAAAAAGTGTATATGAAGTGCACACTTGGCAGACCTGAATTGTTCGATTAAAGACAATGTGAAGGACCACAGAAAAATGGTCTGCCAGCATGTTGCCTCTGCGTTGTCAATTGACAGCGCTTTAAAAGTGTAAAAAAAAGGTATGCTATATCATGTGCTCATGTCTGCCTCTTGGACTGATGTTTAGATTTCTTATAAAAACGAAGAAAATCGATGAGGCAGACATCCAGGCCTCTGATATTCCAAAGGCAGACTATTTGAATATTTTTGCTTTTTTTGCGAAATTTATTTGCTTTTTCATTACCTGTTAGGTTGAGTTAATAAAAATTACTGAAAAAATAATAATAGTAAAACTATTAATAATAACAATAATCAGCCGTAATACCCGCTTTCCCTTGATTCCATGCATGAATTTCAAAAAATTGTACAGCTAAAAATCAGTAAGCAAAATGTCTGCCAAATTTTTTTCGTATTCAGGGAGTTATAATAAATCGAATGGACGTAACTAGAACCATGAACAAATGACTTAGTAGAGCTTTTTTTTTACATTTTTACAACTACGTCCCGTGATAATACAGAGCCCTGGATGTCTGCCTCATGGATTTTCTTCGTTTTCAGGATGATTTTGACTATCAGCTCCAGAGGCAGACATGAATAAATGATTTAGTACCCTTTTTTTACAAATTTGAAGCGCTGTAACGCAAAAACGCAGCGACGTAGGATCTTAATTGACTGGACCAAATCGATTCGTACTGATCTGAACTTTAATCCCTATGGATATGAAACATGAACAAATCATATACCGATTTGGCACCCAGCTCCCTATATTTTTTCTGGGCATGAAAGGAGGCCAGCAGCGGAAAAGGAAACTTTCATGCCGGAATCCAATCAATATTTGATTATTAAATTATTTAATTTAACATTTAATTATTAAGTTAGATTAGAACTTAGCAATTGTTTACTTCGACACGACACGTCTTTTTCAGTTATAACCCAGACAGCACCATGTCCAAAATCGGGATATAAGACATTTTAACATTATATCATAAAACGCCTTAAAGATGTCTTAAAGATGTCTTTAAGATGTTTTATATCCCGATTTTGGACATGCGTGCTGAGAAATTAATATATCGTTTTATAAAATATATATCTTTAATTTACTTTTATTTAATCTTATACTTTCTGGCATTATCTATACAAAAAGTATATAGCGTGCAGGGCAACACGTCTTTGCAATTGCGAATAATGCGAAGCAATGCGGTTAGTACTTGATTTTAATAAGAGTAAAAGGGAGTCCAACGGTAAGAGTCTTCGCGCAAAGGATAATAAATGTCACTAACAAAACCACTTCGAAGTTTGCGGTGCGACAACTTTCCTTGCAACGCACTGCCTTTATCAGCGCTGACAAACGCTGGATTCGCGGAAAATGTTAAAGATTAATGTCAAAATATTTATATCGCGATTGTCGCGTATATATAACAACGTGATACGGGGTCAACAGGCATACCGTAAGGTGTATAAATAAAGCTTCACCGTGTCGGGCCTATGTTTAATGATGCAGGAAGTATTACAATGGACAATTATCTAAATTAGCATTTCAGAAAAATGTAAAAAATTTCAAAGTAGGTATAAAGTGTTACACCTAAAGCAACGTCTTTAGCACTTAGAAGCACTTACAGTCTTTTGTTCCTTGTGTCGCGCTATTATTTCAACTATTTCGCGCATTGTATCATCCGTGTAATTTTATTTTTCTCTTCTAATTAATTAACCAATTCTCGCAGATGTATATTATCATTTTATTAATAATTTATCAATAAACAAATAAATTTATATCAACGCAGATCCGTTTCATATATTTCTATATTTAAATAACAATCGCTCACTTAAAATGAAATTATGCAAATTAATATTTCAAAAATTACGAAATATTCCTTATTGAGAGACTGAAATGTGTACGAGAGAAACGCAAATAATTGACGTTGCCAATTTTCCAGCCAATAACGGGTTTATCATTGATTATAAAAGTTTATATACGAAATTTTCTGGTAGGTATATGGACTATAAAACTTCAATATTGTGTTTAATTTTCGGAGTAAATTTTTTTTATTAATTTTTTAAATCATATTTTGAGCTTGGTTCGAGTCTTTAATTTATGATTTTTTATAATTGCACGATTGACTAATCGCCCGTACCTAAATCGCGAGTTTTCCCATTAGAGGAATTTTTTCCAAAACTCTCTTAGATTTTCAACATTCTTTTAGATCTGCATTTCGAAGTCGAGCGCATCAATTTATATTATCATAAATGCAATAGCGAGCCACGTGCAGACAGAGAAGACCTCCCTTAAGAAATCTGTATCCTCTATTCACCCTCAGAACCAAACATTGCAATTTAGATATCGTGCTAATGAACGCGAAGCTGCTGTGAGTATTCGCTACGAAACATAATGGGGAGAGGGAGGGGCATGTTATCCGAGAAATTTCTCATTTGATGTTGATTGTAGCACTTGAAGTATGGTTTAACTACCGAATTCTTTTCTCATGTACTACCATTCTCTTCTCACAGAGTTGACACCGGATTTAAACTACCTAAACTCATATGCCTTACAACTTTTTTCAAGAGGGGGGGGGCAGAATGTAAATATTTTTCGGTGTACCATTTTTGTTCAGGTTGTGAGAAGGACTGAGAATTCAGAAATAAGATACTTCGTTTAATATAAATAAAATAATGAAAAATAATTATTCAGAAAAAAGGCAAATTTTAAATTTTCTTAACTTCCAGGGGGTCGATTATATATCTTGAAATGAGGTGAAATTTACAACAGTGAGGAAATTTATTAGAGTATCTATGATTTTATTTGTCGAAATCTAGTAAATCTGTTCACTTTTTTTGTAATTTTCAAGATACGCATTCGACCCCAGAAGACAAAATACTATCGATTAGTTCGCTCATTCTAAAAAAAGAAAGGAGTTCCTATGCATATGGGATTTTTCGATTCGTAAAAAGCTCTGCCAAATGTATTTTCATATAATATTTTCTAAAGAAATATTTATGCAGATTATTACAAAAAGCTATCTAAAATCAATTAAAAAGTTAAAAAAATTAAAATCCAGGGAGGCGCATATGCCCCTTCTTGCTTCTTCCTCATGGGCGCCCATGCCTAAATTGACTCCGCTCCTATCGAAACGTACGAAATGTCCGCCAATAAACCACGCTAATAAATAAAAAAAAAGATCGCATATTCGAGATTCGTCACCTGTTAACGAAGGAGGCGGCGATACGGGGTACGGGGCTGCGATCGGCGATAATTAACGGACTGCGGCGAGAGGGTGCTGCAGGTGTGACTTCTTGGTCGTAGGACGCGATTTATGTGGAGCGCAGGCAGGAAAAAGAAGTGGATGGAGTACACGCGCGCCTATCCTATCGCGGATCTCCCGCTTAATCCGCGCGAGAGGATCGCGTCGACGGTCGACGACGGCGGCAGCGGTGGCGGTGGCGGCGGCGACGGCGGCGGCGGTAGCGGTGGCGATCCCGGGAGCGAGAGGCAGCGGCTCGCACGCGGCTGCATCAGCGGCGGCGGCGGCGACGGTGGCGGCGGTCGACTCGAGCAGGTGGATCACTCGGCGACGCGGTTGACGACCCTCCCACCGTCGTGCGGGGAGACAACGCGGCGACGAGACACGAGGAGGACGTCAACTCGCCGATCTCCGTAACATGATCTCGTCACGCTTCGTATCGTCGCGCCGGTCCTCAACATCGGCGCGGACCAATCATTATCCGATACGAAAAAGAAAGAGAAGAAGTGAGAATGAGAGAGAGAGAGAGAGAGAGAGAGAGAGGGGGGAGAAAGAAAGAGGATAGAGAAAGATTGAATGAACAGATATCTCGATATTCCGCGAGGCACTGCCGGTTCACCCGCGGAGAGTCGAGGGGGGAGGGGGTTTTTCACGAGCGCGAACCGCAACCGAAACAGAAACAATCCGAAGAGGTACGCGACCGGCGGTACACTGGCTGCCCGGGTAGAGCGCGTCTAGTAGACGGCGCCACCGCCGATTGGCCGAGCGGCCCGACCAATCGCGAGGCGGCGGCAGCGCGTCAAATCACTGCGGTCGAGTGCCGCCGGCGCCGCCGCCGATCCCTTCGACGCGCGGCGCGTCATCGGCGAAGGTGCGTGCGAGGGTGGTATCCCTCACGTAGGACGCGCGACGCTGGAAATACTGGAACTACAGGTATCAACGATGAAAATGTATAGGAAATAAATGGACAATAAATGAACGGATAACGCGAGAACTGTACGCTCGCGGAGTATAATACCCTCCGCAAATTAGCGGGCTTAATCCCGTCACGCAAATATGACGTAATTGCATGAGAGTGGCGTGGCGGAAAGCATTCAATGTTGATAAATGGTATACGTGCTGCAAAAGCGCGAAAAGATTCGTTAATCGAGATTTGAGAAATTCGTACACATGTAAATGTACGTCGATAAGATAACCGCGCGGCAACAAAAATAATCTACGCTATTATAGTCACGACCCAAGTAGCAAAGTGGTCTTAAAGGACGTCCTAATAACGTTCTTGGACGTCAATAAGACGTCCAAGACGTCAATAAGACGTCTCCAGACGTCATCTTTGCTACTGGGGGATCGAGCACGGTCTTAACGTGTTCACGAGTGTCGTGACGCGGATATTGTTTTTGAATTATTGCATTTGTTAAAGTAAACTTTATGAGTGCAATAAATAACGTGGAATAGT